AGTCACTGATTGTACGTACAGCGCTAATTAAAAGTGCGACGACCGATCGATTTTCATGAATAAACGAACAATCGAAATTAAATGCAAGCAATTAACGACAACCTCGTATCGCGGTTTTATTCTACGTCGAATATTCATACTCGTGTCACGCAAAATTTTCATTTAGTCAATTTGCATTCGTTTTTATATTAATTTTGTATTAATTCACTGTATTAACTGACATAAAATCCGTGTTTATATTATGATTACATATAAAATATTTTACGCATTTCTGTTTATAATTCATAATTTGGTTTGTATTATTAGGAAATGTAACAAATTTGTTTGACGCAAAACTAAGGATGTAAGCAGCATTTAATAAAACAGAAAAAGCGATGTTGTGTTATGTAAAGCTGAAAAAAGGTTATCATCAGTTCTCCTCTATACGCGAAGGAGAACGGGGAATTCGCGAATTACAAGTTAAGTTCGGTTAAGTTACCCGTTTTCCTGTTTCAATTTTTGCGCAAATAAATAATTCAGAAATGAATCGTTTCAATGTGAACAAAAGCGGAAGAATCTGAATTAATTCGCGGTGGATGCACCTGCTGTTAACATCTCGCAAGAAATTTGACATAATTGAGCGTTTTACGCGTGCCGCGAGGCAAAACGTGGCGCGCTCCGGAAGGTTTTCATAAATCGCAACGCACATAAGTCCGTTTAACCAGAAATTTATTTCGCCAACTCTCTCGACCCTGTAATAGCGCTCCGGGCGGAAGAGAGAAGTACAAACGAGGAGAGAAAGCGCGAGCGAGTTATAAATGCGCGCAATCGTTGTTCACTCAGTCGTTCTCTCGGTACAGGGGTGGTAAAAAAGAATCGCGAGCAAAGCGAATATCGACGTGTCGACGTGGCGAACAAAACAAATAAACGCCCTCCTGACCCGCGACAAATTTACGGCGCGCGCTTAATTAGCGGACAAATAACGCGATTAACGGCAACCGACCGCCGCACGATAGTTTGTCGCGTTTACCGCGTAGGTACGACTCATGCGCGAATCGGTAAGCGTGTGCACACTCCGCATGCCGGAAACTGTTGCTCACGACAGCCAGAAATGCAGCCGGCATCCCGCGACCAGAGAAAAACGAAAAGCACAAAGCGCGAACAATAACGCGCGTCCACCGTGACTAATGCACCGGTTATTGCGCCCAGGTTATTTATTCTCGACACTCGCGGAATCTCACAGCTCTGTTTCGAGCATACGCGGTTACTTTAATTATTATAAAATGTTACTTATAAAACTTACGATAAATTGTAATCTTTTATTATGCACTTTTTTATTATACAAAGAATAATACATAATTCTTTATTTTTGTTTGCTATTATTTGTGAAGACGTGTTCCTTGTAAGAAGTTAACAAATATCGTATTGATGGACTATGAGCTGAAACTGAAAGAACGGATAAAAAATGACAGACACGATTTTCGTTGGTGCTCCTGAAGGGTGAGGAAAACGAGGAGCGATGAATCGTCGGAACTTTTTATCCGCCGCGGTGTAAAACGCGCGGAATGGAATGGAACTCGAGGTATCGGCTTTGCATTTGATCAACCGTGCAATGAATAAGGAAAACTTGGCCGTTCTATGCATCGGAAACTGTTGCGCTCGTAAGCCTGAATTGTAAGTCCGTACAGTTGCGGGCGCGCGCGGTATAACGTCAAGGAATAATATCACAGAAAATACATGGCGCATTTCGAATCATAAATTATTCATAATAAACACGTCGCCTTTACCTTATCCGATCAGTGAAAAAGTACCGAAATAAAATATACATACAAACATTTTTTATGAACAATTGATTTTAATTGTTTTGAGAATAAAAAGAATATCAAGTTGCACAGATTTGTTTGTATATACATGAAGTATCAGCTTAAAAGTGTTTTTTTTTTTCAGTGTTACAAATTAATTGAACAGATGAGTTTTCGAGAGAGAGGCTATTCAACTCTCGAAATAAATAAAACACAAATTACAAAGAAATGTACAAAAATATCGGCTTGACTACTTATCAGAGTCAAATACCGCTGATACGGTGAAATAATGTACGTGAAATATTTCTACAGTGATAAAATCTTTGTAAAGAAAGAGAAATTCAGAGAGAGAGAGAGAGAGAGGAAAAGTAAAATTAGACTTTTGCCGAATACAGTGCGGAATAAAATTCAAAGTATCGGCTTTACATTTGATCAGCGACGCGACGAATAAGGAAGCCCCGTATCCTGGCGTATCCGAGAGGCCACGACGAGACGAATCAATCCTCGAACTTCAAAGAAATCCTGCACCGCTCTGATCCTTCGGGATTCTCTGATACGCGTGGAAGTCTTTAATCAGGGAACGCAAATCGACCCTCGACGGCACGTCAGCTCCAGAAATAGGCTCGCGCTTGTCCTATTGTCCTCAGAGCACGGGTCGCGTCGCGTAGAATATTAATTGATTCGCTAATTATCACAGTACCGCCAACAGTCTAAATTATCTAACGCTGAATTTGAAATCGACTCTGTCTTCCCACAGATTACGTTTCTTTCATAGATGGTAATTTTGTTTTCGTACAATAAATTAGATATGTACGTTTTTCTAATCCACACTTAAATTAATAGAAGAAGAAGAAGAAGAAGCAGAAGAATTGTGTAAAAAATATTTTTGCAGACAATTTTATACTTGCGGCGATAAGTCGTATCGTGTTGCGTCAGTTTACTCTGTCATTTACATATTCGCGGTTTTGCGCGACTCGCACATTCGACACACTGTTCAATATTTATGTTCTCGGAATGTGAAGCACGTCGGGAGCATTCGTATCCCAATACGTACTTTATTCAATGCAAAGCGAATACTTCGTATCAGAGGCATGCGCGGGAAAGAAGCGGAGAATCGCGGTTTCGCGTCCTGGAGTTTGCACTCCGAAACTATACCGTGCTGCTATATAGCTCTTGCATATCCTGCGGACTAACAGGACAGGGTCAAAGGGGTCCGCGTGGCTCTATTGTGTTCCCGGTTAACTACTGCTTACGGCAACACAAAGCCCTGAAAAGCCGACGAATTATTTAAAAAGACTCGTTATTGTTCCGCGAAGCAAATGGTCAAACCGCCGCGGAACCACTTGCCAACCAGACAGCAACTCTCGGCTGAAAGGAAAAACATACACAGTTACATGCGCACACAGAATCGCGCGTGCCTTTCATTCCCGTCCGCGTGCACGTGTTAGTAAAAACTATTAGAAGTTAATACTGCAAAGATTGGTTGTTATAATATAAATGTGAAACGCATTACTCGGTATAAAAGGCTTCAATTTGACATATTGGTTTTGCGGCGCAGTTTGTTTAACAGAAAAATACAAAACGATGTCCAAAAGTCATATAAAACAACGATGCATTGTAAAATTGAATGTTATCAAAACGAATACTCAAAATAAATCAATAAATGGTATGTGAATGAATAGCTCTGTGTATGCTGACGTGTGTGAAAAAAAAGATAACTATCGATCGCTTATATTTTTCTAATTGTTCTTCGATGTTTTAGTAACACACCACGTTTTTTGAATAAAGTTACCCGAGAAAAAATAGAAAATATATGATTATATAAAATTATATATATATATAAGATATTATGATCAGATCGCACCAAATTTCGAATCCGATTTTATATGGTCATACATGATTTTATATATTTATATATGATCATATATAAAATCAGATCGCGCCAAATTTCTGATTTTATATGATCATATAAAATCATATCGGACTTATATATAATCTTATGTGATCATATGTTTTCTATTTTTTCTCGGATATGTGTAAAAACTTACGAGTGAAACAACTTTATATGAATAGATATAAATATAATTTGATAAATAATTTATCGATGAGATCCAAGACAGACAGTGATAATTCCGAATAATACGATACAGCGAATGATTTGACAGATACTCGGACGTCATTTTGCAACTGCATTATTAATTTATAATTACATAAGATTGTACGAACAAAGTTAGTGAAAATACAAAATTTCAGTTTTTGTTTTCAGTTCTATGCGTAAATTGTTTCATGTTCAATAGCTAGAAATATATACAAAAACTTACTATTTTTTCCCTACAATAACAACAAATATAAAGGATCTGCATGCGCGGAAAAATAAAAATTGCAGAAAAAACTGCTTTTATAAAATTTAATCATTGTTATATAATTGTTATTTAATAATTTAGTTTTTAATAATCGTTATTTTCACTTGCAATTAGAAGACAATGTGTAAAAAATTTAAAATCTGAATTTAAATTCTGACTTTATTTTGACAATCGACACAGCTTTTTGTGTCAAGTTATCGATATTTCAACATCACACATATACTGTTAAAATATACGTTATTTAATAAAATAATGCACGAAATATTTCTTCATAGTTTTTTTTTTTTTTTTTTATAAATTGTACGATTATAATTGGTTATCGCAGCCACTTTAAAATTCACCTCGCTTTGGAGTACTCGATTGCGTTCGGTTGATCGAATATTTTTAATTACCGTCGTATTTGTCCCGATCGTGTGGACAAATTGTGGACGTATGATAAATAAATTAATGCGCGCGCGTCGATCATTGCAAAGCCATTTCCCGCTGGGATTTTCACCATGTGGCCGAATTTTCCACTAATAACTGTGTTTTTTAGAGAAACGTTTTGAACGTTGTTTGCATGCAATATCAATTTTTATCATTTTCGTCAATTTAATCATTTAAATATTTCTCCGCTTCATACGTGCAATACAAATAAATAAATTTTGAGGTTTTTTGCACTTTTTTAGAAATTGATTCAAGTAGTAAATCCTATTTCTTAATCTTGTATTAATCTATTACAAAATAAATATTTTATGATTTTTTTGATTGTCTTGCTTTAAATGTAATTTACATTAATTAATTAACTTACATTAACGACACACGTGTTTTACGAGTGCATGGAATAAAGAAGTCGTTTGTGTTCTTTATCGCATAGGTGCCAGATTGCAGATACAAAAACTGGATGTGCCCAGCATTGTGGATCCGAGATGGGAGAGCGTATCGCTAAGATGCGAATATGATCTCGGCGGCAAAGATCTATATTCGGTTACGTGGTATAAAGACGATCAAGAGTTCTTCAACTACAAACCATCGGAACCAAAGCGAGATCGCGGTATAGACGGCGTGTACGTCGATCTCAACCTAAGTAACAGCAAGCAAGTGACACTATTGGGTCCGAATTATCATAGAGGTGCGCGACATTAATTTTTACAAAGTACAGAACATTTGTACATTTGTGTTCGATATATTTCAATTCTCTTTATACACAAAAGATCTTATTTACATATGTAATTATTGGGAAATAAAATCAATTTTATAAATTATTAATTATTGAATTTAAAAAGTATCTTTTGTGTTTCTCATTTTATCATCACGATAAATTTGATGAAAATCTGAATAAAATGACAAAGAATATTATATTATAGCTTTTCCAATTTATAAATTCACATCTAGCCTCTTCTCTCTTTTTGACTTTGTACAGGCAAAACTGATCTAGCAGGGTCTTACGGCTGCGAGGTGTCGTCCGAAGGCCCAAGTTTCGAAACAGATTACAAACAGGCAAACATGAGTGTGGCAGTACTACCCGAGCATCAACCTGTGCTCAATGGGATGCGACCTTCTTATGAGGTCGGCGAGATTCTTGAAGCGGAGTGCACGTCGGCGTTGAGTTACCCCCCAGCAGTTTTAACGTTCATCTTGAACAGTAAAGAGGTGAGTCGATGTGCACGGTGAAACACGGCGAGCGTTCCGTCGCGGTTAAACTTTCGAGAGGTCGTGCGAACTCGAATATAAGAGACGATCCGCGCGCCTCACAATTTTCTAGGAATTTCCATATCATGTACGCGAGATACTGCACTTTTAATGTTTTATTCGCAGCGAATACTGATAACACGAGAGATAAAATTTTCATTTATTATCAGTCGGTCGCAGATTTTCGTTCTTTATTAAATAATAGAGTTTCAATAGCATATTACTAAAAGAGTGATTGGTGTTTCAATATTTTTATTAAAGTGATATCCACTTCAAATTAGTTGTGAGAATCCATCTCTGAAATATCATCCAGCGGATGAAGCACTTCGCAACATCGGTTCGATATGAACCGCGAGAGCGAAAATTTTGTAATTAATCGCGCGGCGTAATTCATCTTCAAAAAGCTCGCGGGCTGTTACGCGGTCCCGACGAACTAGGAACCGCATAACTCCCATTATTCAATGCTACGCTGCGCACGTCGTTCGCGAGAAGGTACTACTCCGGTTTATTCAACGACAATTTGTCAAGCGAGGTCACTTTGCGAGCGCGGATGTTTTTATATTTTGCTCGCTGAACAACCGAACGCGTTCGAGTCTCAACAATTATAGAGCTGTGCGTATATGTCGTAAATTAACTTCTCGAGAATAAATAATTCGGACGGAATCGGCGTTGAAGCTGCCGCAACGTTGACGCGAATGTGCCATTTTTACAATAAAAGTTATTGTAAAAATGGCACATTGTAGCTAAGAAGTTTATACGCTTGGCGCGCGCGCGTTTCGAAACTATAATCGTTTTTTCTCTCCAAATATTTTGCGATCAATTTGGAATCACGAGTTTCCGTTCCGCGAATATATCTTTGTGTGGCAAACGTATCTCTCACTGCTATTAAAATTGATTTAAAACTGCAACTCTAAATTATATTTTTTTTTAGAATTCAGTTTCTAACTGGCTTTTAATAGGTGAACAGAGACGTAACCAGAATCTTGCAAAGTGGTTACATAGAAGAAAACGTGATTTCTTTGACGCGGCTGGGCCTGACGATACGTCTAGAACGACACCATTTCCCGGGCGGCACCCTGACTTTGACGTGCCAAGCCACGTTACCGGGAATCACCGGCTACAAGCCACTCAACATCACCGTGAACGCCACTCTTGCTGCCAACAACCAACGTCTCGTTGAACCTCCTAGAAAATCGGGTTCAAGGTCGAATTTCGACTCGTGCCTGGTTTTGATCGTCTGGATAATGGCGACGATTCACTCCGCGATTCGCCGTGACAATCTAGAACTTTGTGTTTAACGTTGACGTATATCGCAATATACTGATTTCGACGTTTGCAATATTAAAATCCACGACACGCCAATATCTTTTGAGTTTGTGCTAATTAGTACATACATACATACGTCTCTCACAATTGTTCTCGCGATCGGGAAAATGTCGCATATTGTCATCGGCTTTCTTCTCTCTCTCACTCGCTCTCTCTCTCTCTCTCTCTCTCTCTCTTTCTTTTTCTCTCTCACTCTCTCTACGTGTTAACTAACGCGACGTTTCCATGATGCGACGAATGCATGTAGTACGTAGGTCTCTTGGGCGCGACGCCTACCGAGTGTGATGCACAATTTTGGTGTGTCTTGAATCTTCGCGTATCCTGTTCACACTTGCATGTATACACAGTATTAGAACGCCCCGTATATGTATATCTTATATAGCGGATAACTCAGAGACGATAGCAATACAACAATATTATGTGTAAAGTAGGTCGAAACACGGACGCAGCGGCGTTGTACATAGTGTATAATTGTGGATTAGCATTACAAATTATCGTGTATAATTAATTGGACGTACTAGGAGACTGCGAAGGATGACGGAGAACACGATGAAAGTAACATGAGACGTATCGGAATTTGCAAGAACGCACGCGCGCGAGAAACTGGCAGCAATTTTATAAAGCGGAAAACACGATCGAAGTGTCGCGTCAAGAAATATCTATCGTTCATCTTTCTTTTCAGACCAGAGAAACTATAGTTTAATAAAAATAATACATACATATATATATATATATATATACACACATACACACACACAAAATCTTGAAATAAACAACTTGACGTAAATAGCGTTAATATGTGATTAATTCGATTACATTTTTCACATCCGATCTTCCTCAGAAGGCGTGCGACGAATCTTTTATGTAAGAGAACGTTTTTGTGTTCTATTGTAATTTTACATAATTCAAGTCTTGTCATCATTATCATCGAAGTGTGATTGCAGCAAATAAAATCAAATGATTTAATCAATTTGCAACAGTGTATTCTTCACGAATCATAGACAATCCTCTTTATAGCGTGGCAATTTTAACAGAGGATCGTACCTAACTTAATCGCGCGTAGATGTAATTTCATAAATTAATTTTTATAATATAATTAATATGAAGTTTAGAGTACAACCAGTATAATTAACGCTTTGCTACTACATAAAGAAAAAATAACTCAAAAAAATAAAGAAAAAATAACTCAATAAACGCAGCATGAGCGATATAATTATCAGAAAAATTATCTCATATTTTGATGGTTTCTTTCGCTGGCGTTTATATAACGAAGAAAACTCCTCGCGTGTATATAACTCTCTCTCTTTCTCTCTCTCTTTCTCTCTCTCTCTCTCTCTCTCTCTCTCTCTCTCTCTCTCTTTTCCTCTATCGCACACTCGAAATATATTATTAATCGACGTGTCGTCACGTTCATCCATACTGAATGCTGCCTGAGAAATCGGACTTTTAATTATCGGCTAAGTGTTAATTATATTAACAGCCAATCAAAATGGGGATATATAACTGATAGGTACGAAGAGCATTTCTTGTCTCTTTTCTACGCCACGTGTTAATTTCCTGACAATTTCTCGTTTCGCACTGAACGCTACTTCAATGTTATAATACAAGAAAATTACCAGTGAAACGAGAATCAAGCACTTCAACGACTGTTTTTGAGTAATTTTAATTTTTCTTGTGTGTCGCACTTTTTTGCGCTCTCGAAAAAAAGAGATAGATAAAGAATGCAGGTTTCTTCATTGCGGAATAAAGTTTCCATCAGCCTCAAACTACCTAATGACCATAGGCGCACATAAAAGAGCTTGCTTATTAGTTAACTGAAACTGGAATAATAAACTTTGCAGGCACCTATTGTGATGCGTTTTTATCGCATTCTGAGAAAAAATATGGAAAACGTGTGATCATGTAGGATAATATATGGGTCGCGGGTAAGGTTTTATATGATCACATATAAGATTTTATATAAGTCGGATGTGATCGTGTATCAAATCCGAAATTTGGGGGCGCGATCTGATCACTTATATATATATATATATAATCTTATATAATCATACGTTTCTATCTTTTCTCGGGATTCGTTTGATATTAAACACGTGTCCAACACATTGTTTACGACTTTATTTACAATTAGATTTACGTAGTATGTCGAAATGAGAAAATTGAAAATAAATAGCGGCCTTTGAATTAGCGAAATCAAAGTGAGTCGACAATTCAAGCATATCTCTAATTCTGGAATATCTCTTTGCAATTTATTAAACGTTTAAATTACTGTGTGGCACATAGAGAGCATAAATAAATCACATGCGTTTAGGATTCACAACATTGATTGACCCACTTTTGAACATTTGAAAAAAGTCTCAATACAGCATAGCAGAAAAGGTTAACTCAAAAAAAGGTAAGAACAGACGTTGAGTACACGCACAACACGTATTTTATAAATATTTTTTAAATTAAAAATCTTAATTCAGACTGTTTTTTGTTATTATTTTTTATTTGTACAAAAAAAATTTAAGTCAGTTTTTATTATTATACAAAAAATTCTTTCTCTATAAAACCTGGTTTACAAAATTATATACCACAAAACATTTTTTCTTTAAATGCTTGTTTTATAAAAAAAAGTAATATACTACAAAAAAATCTTTCTCTGTAAAACCTGGGTCACAAAATATTATATACTACAAAACATTTTTTTTCTAAAAATCTGTTTTACGAAAGAAGTGATATCAAAAAGTAGCATCAAGTAAACTTTTGTACGTTATTACATTGTTAAAAAACAATATAGAATAGAAAAACAAGAACATAATTGTGTCAATATTAAGACTACGCCTTAACTTTTTTTCTGTGATTATTAATTAATCCTAAGTACATAACTATGTACTTTGGTAAGTTTATATTTATTACTAGAACACAGAAGTGTAACAAAAGAAAAAGTTTTTTCAAAATAAAAAAAATATGTAATGCTAAAGAACTTGACGTGGCTGCACCTACACTAATAATGAACTGAAATTATTTATTTGTGCGTCAGCCTGATGTGCAATAGCTACTCAATAGTGTTTGTTTTAATGTGAAATAAATTGTAAATAGCTGTGAAGTTCGCGCGTGCGGACACGTTTATCTGCGGTTTGTAAATAGCTTGCACGTTCACGTAAGACATGTTTGTCTGCAGGCTTTTGGCTTTGCAGCCGCACCAAGTTCTTTTGCATTAAATATTTTTTACATTTTGAAAAAAACTTTTTCAGTTCGAACGCCACTTTGTTGCGCATAAACTTGACGCGAGGCACTACCGTGCCTCTTGATTTGTGTAAGTAATATAAAGGCCGGCAAGATAAGAGCAGTTTAAGATGTCGAAGCTGAAGCCGGTAAACGAGGCAAACAATAAAAAGATAAATTAGCGAGAGAACGATCTCAGTAGAAAGTTGTTGAAAGATAGTACGGTCACATAAACCGCCTTGGATTCACCAAACGAATTCTCTTCTTGTCTCCGCCTATTGCGCCGATAGATCGGCACGCCGACTCTGCGACTCTCCTTCCTCTTCACAATTCGATTTCCAGATTAATTAAGGATCGCTGGTCTGAAAGGACGCTCTCGAGATCCTTTCAACAAGGTCGAGTGTCCGTTCGTCCCCGGGCGTAACGAGCGCCGATTCGAATCGGTTTCACGAGACACCGAGCCCGATAATGACATTTTCCGTCGGCTCAGGTAAGTCTATCTTACGTCTCCATGTCTGCTTACTGATTACGCGCAGCTCTCGCGAAATCCCCAATTTAGTCTCGTGCTACATACGCGAGGAGGCTTTTCAAGGGGTTCCTCCTGTTTCTCACTAGACTCCGTTCTATCTTTTTCCACTCATCTCATCGGCGAATCATAAAAATACTTTATTCCGATATTTTTGTCACAAAAATTCGAGATCAATCTTTTTTTTCATAAGAAAATTCAATTAAATATTTCTCAGGATTCTTTTTTATCTTTAATGAATTTTCATTAAGTTTAAAAACAATTTTATCGATTTTATTTAAAATTTATCAAAATACATATTTACTATTTCAAAGGATTTCTTTGTATATCGTCTACATTCAGAAATTATATTTAAAAAATGTTAGATACATGTGTATTTTCAATTTGCAAAATAAATATATCTCAATGTCTTCCTGTCTTGCGCGTACTTATAATCTATGATATTTTGATGATTTAATGGTTCACAAGAAGTCATATATGCGATTGATCCGTGACAAGACCTGTATAAAGCTGCCTAGAGGACAATAGCGAAGCACCCGATTCACAGCTGAATCGTAGACGACGCGACGTTAGGGCGGATTAAGGTGCTCGAAGTCGGAGAGACTCTCATTACCGTCTCCTCCTCCGCTTTGCTTTATTGCCTCCTCCAAAGAGAGAAAGGAAGAGAGTATATATATATATATATATATATGTACAATGTCTTGTATATGAACCTGTATATACGTATCCTGCACGCTTCTGGCACATCGCAGCAATGCGTGTGCGTGCGCGTACAAGCAACCAAGCAAGCGCGCGCATCAGCGTGTGTGCATCCCGCAAGAGATACTAGGAACTGATACGAAATCGATAGAACCCAGTTTCCGGCGACGTGGCTGTGTTATACCATTCACCTAACGGCAACATCAACCGGCGACAGGAACAACATTGCGATCTTCCAGGCGATTCGCGCGTCACTCGAGTGCGCTTTGACTAGGAAGATACTGTAGATAGGCTTCTCTTGAAACGAAGAGAAAATTACTTCGAGTCGAGTCAATATAACAAGTTTTTAGATACGAGAATTACAAATATGTTGTATTACATTTTTGCGTCAAACATATATATCGTTTCATTTTTCTTCCCAGTAAAAATAGAACTTTTATCAATATAAAAAATATAGCGACACAAAACTTATATAGTGATGCAAAAATAATAAATATAAAATCATATTATATTAAAGATTTTAAACTAAAACGTAGTTTATATTATTAAAAAATAAAATTTTTATTTTGTATGTAAATCATAAATATATCATAACAAACGTATAACAGCACACGATGACAGAAAAAGAAATTATTCTTTTACTAGTGCGTACAAGGATACGCATCTTGGTTGGAAACAAAATAAAAATAAATTCTTATTAGCTGAGAAGTGTGGGGGTTCACTTGAAATTAATATCGAGCTTCATATTTTCTTGCTTAATATTTCCTCTTGAGAATACAAATCATTTTAGTCGTAAATAATAATTAAATTCTACGTTAATCGCAAAACTTTTAATATGCGACTAATCATTTTTAATTGCAAGTATGAGATAATACGCGTCATTTAATTTATATACTTGCTCCTCTCTTTCTTTCTCTTTTTCATACATATAAACAAACATTATTATTAAAGCGAGTGAATAAAAATGAGGGGTGACTCGTGTTAATTAATTCACTTGGACTTGTGTTAGTTAATTCAAATTAAATGCAAAAAATAATTGTGAACCAATACACAGAATGTCGTACAAAAAACTGGACTTTATGTAACCAAAGCGTTTCGATTTTTATTCAATAAATTTTTTTCAGTTGGTAAACTTACAACTATATTCACTTCAGCAGGAGGATTGTTTAACATAAATTTTAAACTACACTAAAAACAATGTCATTTAAAAATTAAAAATTGTAAAAAATAACGTCAACACATCTTAAAAGCTGAGTCCCGAACATATAAAACAAGGTTTAATATTTAACAAAAGCAATCATTGGTTTTATAGAATAATTACAACACTCATCGAATTACATGAATTAACTATTACGTCTCATAATAGATCGTATCAATTTTGACGAATCTATCGTTCAGAGATTTGCCTCGACAAGTTTTAATCGATCTCTATATAATACCCGCGTGGTTCTCTCTGACAAACTTGGGGAACATGATACGATTGGCAAACAGAAAGCCCGCATACTGATAAGAAATCATGATGTTGATGTAATTATTGCTCGTAAGCGATTTTTGAATGTAAGATTGCTGCCAAAAATTTTATATCGCTCGCAATACTTGATTTACATTTCAAAATATAAGTAGAAATTTTCTGATGGCAAGATTTTCAAATGTTGAATTAATTTCAATCTCCGTTGTGTTTTTATACTTGTCTGAGTACTTTATATTTAAAATCACACGTCAACAAAAATTAATATTATCTTTCAAAAATAATAATTATTAAAACTTTTTTTTCGTAAAAACATAAGTAGTATAATTTTAAAAACTCTTAAAAATTTTCAGTGTTATACAGCTTGGAAATATGTCATAAAATTTTTATCTTCTTTATATGGGAACTTTAAAAAAGTCGCGAACTACTTAAGTAGAAAGGTTCTTGTTGGAAGATTCAGTATACAATCCAATCTCTCTTAAGGTAGTGGCCTGTCTCTAATGGAAGACTACAAGAAAGCAATTCTCGAAAAATTGTCAACGCGGAGAAATTCCAAGTTTTTGATCCGCGACGATGTCGCGAGTCCATAAAAGATTTTATTAAGCAGTCGAAACCACTCAGTTTCTCCGCTAAAAGGAACACAAAGTTTCAAGGAAACTCGCAAGAGAGGCCGCATTGGCTAGATGCTAGATTAAAGGAAAAAACTTCGTGATTATCCAACTTCACCATTTCGGCTTTTCGAAGCGCTTCATTCTTTCCTCAAGTACAATTGACGAATTTGGCGCATCGTATATATTCATCCATTCGCGAACATTCGCTTTGTTTGCCAAACTGAGCGCTGAAAATAATGGATTAAATTATAATAGTTTTTCTCACGAAATCTTGGACAATTTAATTACAATGTATATCTATAATGTTAAAAATTTAGAAGATTGCAGAAAAAAGAAAAGCAAAATAATCGAAAGCACCGGATGAATAAAATTCGAGTTTAAACCATTTCGAAATAGTAAAGTGGTAGAATCAACTCATGCACATTTCAAAACGCCTTGCACATCTTTCTCGTAGAAAGAACGACATGGCTTTTCGAGTTCTGACAAGCAATGGAAAGCAAATCCGCGGAATCTGAATACACAACTGGATTCCTGTCGGTAGTTTAAACCAACCTTCTACGGCCTTTGCTTCCTCGTTTCCTTTCCAGCGGAATATCTTCAGATGGCTCGCTGTTATGCCAGAGAAGAGCAATATGAACGCAGTCACCGCGAAAATAGTAGTACGAAGAGAACTGTCGGCTTA